GCGTCAGAGCCAAGACCCCCGGCGCCCTTCGCAGCTGGCCGCCGACCCGGACAAGTTCGCCACCTTCCCATCGCAGGAGCGTCCACGAGGAGGTGGTGGCCGAAGAGGTTCCTGCTGCCCACGGCGATGCTCATCCTACCCCTGGCTCCACGCCAGCCGTCCGAGTTCCTGGCCTCCGCGAAGATCTAGACGCCGCCATTCAGAACATCAAGCAGCAGCAGGTTGCCTACGCCGCCGACACCGCAAATCGACTCCTCGAACGGATTCGGGAAATCTGTCGTTTTCTCCTTCAACCGGAAATTCTTCGGACAGGGCGCGGAAGGGACAACCTGGCGGACCTGGTGACCCACTCCCAGGGTCTCGTTGGGCACCGTTGCCTGAGGGACCAGCGGATGCGGGACGAGCCGAGGAGCGTCCAGCGCGGGCAGATCGCGGTGCCGCTCGGCCTGATGAGCGTCCAGAAGGGGGCAATTTCAGCCCGTTGGACTGTTGCGAGAGTACAACGGCCTGCTTCAGCTCGAGGGCATTGTGTTTCTTTTCGGATACAACTGTCGCGGTGATCTGTTTGATGCTGGCGCTGGCGTCGGCGTCGAGAGGCTTGAGACACATGGAGGCTGCGCGATGCCGAACGCTCGATGCCGCTGCCACTTTCACTGCTGTCTGCCATGACTGTGATGCGCTCGAGAAGAACAGGCCGCTGCTCAAGGAGAAGATGTGCTGAAAAACGCCAGCACCAAGGGGCGAAGCGCTGCCAGAGCGTGACGGCGCTGTAGGCGGTGAAAGGGGCCAGTGCATCCTCGGGCGATATGACGGGCTCGGCGTGTAGCTCGGCGAGCGGCTCGGAGCGGGGCTCGACGAGCGGATATGATGGCCGCCTGCAAGGCAAATGCGAGAAGCAGGAAGAGACGGCATGGGCTGCCGCAAGCCTCAGGATGTGCCGGCAAGACTGCGAGGCCTGGTGGGAGCCTACCCCGTGGAGGCAGTGGAATGGACACGATTTTGGCCTTGAGCCAACATGGTTACGGAAGAAGGAAGAGGAGGAGGAGGAGGAGGAGGAGGAGGAGGAGGAGGAGGAGGAGGAGGAGAAGGAGGCAGAAGGAGGAGGCGCAGGCGCAGGCGCAGGCGCAGGCAGAGGAGGAGAAGGAGAGGAAGAGGAGGAGGAGGAGGAGGAGGAGGAGGAGGAGGAAGAGGAGGAGGGTAGAGGAGGAGAGGGGTCGCCCCCGGCTGCGCTTCGGGGGCGGGGCCGTCCCCAGCGGCTGCGAGAGCGGAAGGGAGCGGGCGATGGCCGCGGAGCGCCTCTCGAGCCTCTCGAGTCTCTGGGAGCGCCTGCGCTCGGGGCCATGGCGCTCGGGGCATCGCTCTTCGAGATCACGGTGGTAAGCGTCTCGGGAGACGGACAACGATGGAGGGCAGAAAACCCACTCCCGTAATCATCACCCCGACACGCGAAGCCGTTTCGCAAACCCACCCACGCAAGGAATCGAACAGGGCAGGGCTGTTTAGTAAACGCCCAGGGCCGTTCAGCAAACGCCAATTATCGAGTCAGGGTGGTTTTTCCCTTGAAACGACTACCTACAAGACCACCCCAAGCCAACCCGAACTCCCCAATTTCGGGTTGGGGGGGTGTACGGGTTCCCCCCGTGTCTTTTCGATGCTCCCCGGCGCCCGCCCCACTGTTAAAGAAAGGCAAATTAGGGCCTGCGGGCTGGGTTGGGGTGGCTTGGTGGGTGGTGAGACACTGCGCTGCGTAGGAGGAGGAGGAGGAGGAGGAGGAGGAAGAGGAGGAGGAGGAGGAGGAGCTTGAGCGGAGCATCTGCCGTATAGAGCCACGCGCGCGCCCCCCGGGGCCCTGGGCGGGCTCGCCTCCGGAGCTCTGTCTCAAGCACGAGAGGCCTCCGGAGCTCCGACCACAGGTGGCCTCCTGGTGCCCCGCCCCCCAACGAAGAGTTCGGCAGCAGCTCATGGGAGCCTCTCATTTACCAGCCTGGAACATATCCCTATCCCTATGCTGGGCATCGCCCCATCACGATGCCAATCTTAGGGATTCCCTCAGTTTTTGAGGGCGCATCCCTAAGATTGTCATCACCTTTCGGCGTGTCAATCTTAGGGATAGGGATAAGTTCGAGGCTGGTGACTCATACCACATTTTTCTTGTTAAGGCCGGATCCCCCTTCACTGCCCTTCACTGGCAAGTGCAGTGCGCGCCTGGCGCTCCGAGCCTGTCCGGCCGACCTCGCCCGCGCCTCCGCTATATTTCAGCACAGGGGCGGCGCGCCACCGCGCCGCGGGCTCAGGAAGGATCGTCCCTTAGGGGGCCACATGCGAACCCTACCCCTACCCCCCACGATTTCTGAGGGGGAGGGTGGGGTTTCACTTCGCTCGGGAGCTCCCGAACGAAGTGAACCCCACCCGCCCCCTCAGAAATCGTGGGGGGTAGGGGTAGGGTGGGCATGTGGCCCCCTATCCCTCCTCCCCCTCCACCACCACCCATACCATCTCGTCGGCTCTTGAAAATCGGCGCGAATCGACGCTGAATCGACGCCAAGTCGACGCTCATCGACGCTAGCCGACGCCAAATCGGCGCTGTCTCTCATCGACCCCAGACGCTGGTCGACGCGAGTCGACGCTGAAGGCGGGATTTAAGAGGGCATAAGTATACTGGGCTCCCACGGCTTGCCAACGAAGCAGACAACAGAAAAGCACGAGGGGCAAACGAACGGCACTCACCCCAGCAGGGCACCCTGGTAGCAACAGAGGCGCAGGAGCGGGTCGAGGAGCAGGGCGTCAGCGAGTGACATCGGCGGTGGACAAGCCTCCCTTTAGTAAACCTTCCTTTAAGGGGGGGGGGGGGGGGGAAAAAAAAAACTAAGACCGAAACCGACGGACCTGGACCCGCAAACATAACGGCGTTGACGCCCTCTCGCGAACCTGACCCGGCCGATTCACCAATCGACGTGTCAGGGTAGGAGGCCTATCCACCAAAAAAAAAAAAACTGTCATTCCTGGGTATTCCCAGGAAGCTCAAGGTCACGCGCACCATACTACATTTGTTACCAAGGACCGTGGCCGTCCGGAACAACCATGTGACCGGCATCGGGACGAAAGCACGATTCCTGCACAGACTGTGGAGAAGGCCGAGGCGAAGCGGTTCCCCACACAGGGCGGTCACGGGTTCCCCCCCATGTGGGACTCTTCTGCGGTCCTTTTTTTGCCCCATGAAGAACCCTTTAATTAGCGAAACGCTATTGGGGAGAAAGTGGTCTCGCGCACGGCGGTACGGCGACCTGGCGCGGAGGGGACGAGACGAAACGATGAAGTCCGAATGCTTTTCTTCACAAGTTCATGTGTCGAAGACGCCCACTGGAATGTGCAAGCCAGGGCCCTTGAAAACCGGCCTAAACAGGATAACCCTAAATCGAATCGATAAGTTGGATCGGCGATCGAAATGAGTCGAGCCGGCGAAAATCGGCAGCCAAGTCGGGAGAAATTGAGTCGGTGGAAATCGTCAAGCAAATAAGGCCTCCGTTGAAAGACCGAAACCCACATCGAAATTCGGAACCGCATCGAATCGGAATCGAAATCGAATCGAAACGAGTCGGAGGAGTCAAAATGAGCGCCAGCCCAAAATTCCTCGTGCGCGGAAGGCTGTACGCACCCTGCCGGTATTGCACTCCGCGCAGAAACAGGACGACGACGACGACGACAACGACGACGAATACGACGAGACGACGACACCGCCCAGGACGACAACGACGACGACGACGACGACGACGACGACGAGGACGACGCCCAAGACGACGACGACGACGACGACGACGACGATGACGACGACGACGACGACGACGACGACGCGGCCCCCACGCTGTCCTGGTAGGCCAGGTTGGGGGCGTCCTGGCCCCACGCGGCGTCGGCCATCGCCCCGCGCGCCCTCCGCCCGCGGGGGGAGGGCGCCCCCGGCTCCGAGGGGAGGGCCGGCGCGTGCCTGCGCCTTGCGGGCGCCCGCGCGGCGCCGGCGTGGGGCCGGCGGAGTGGCGCGGCCTCGCCAGCGGCTGCCTGTGGCGTGCCCCGGCGCCTGCTCCGCTGCCTGCTCCGAGGCTCCACAAGCACCTCCTGCTCCTCCTCCTGTACTCTTGGGCGCAGGGCAAGCTTAGACCCTCCGACTCCCCTCATCAGCATCATCATCATCATCATCATCATCATCATCATCATCATCATCATCATCATCATCATCAGCAGCAGCAGCAGCAGCAACAGCATCATCATCATCATCATCATCATCATCATCATCATC